AGCCAGGGCAGCCCCGCCCCTTGCATTGCTGGGCGGGGCAGGACGCCTGGGTTCCTTCATCTCGCCAGACCCAGGTACTGCTGGGATGGGACCTAGGTCCCCCTCCCCGCCAGAATGAGTCCTTGCCCCACAGCAAGGTGCTGCAGACCCCCTTGGGTAGGTGCCCGGCACTGTGGGATCCTGGCTCCCGTCCCTGGGGCAGGGCGCTGCAGGGCTCATATGCACCCCCATGCCGCCGTCCTGGGTGCAGGCTCCCGTCCTGGGGCAGGGCGCTGCAGGGCTCATATGCACCCCCATGCCGCCGTCCTGGGTGCAGGCTCCCGTCCTGGGGCAGGGCGCTGCAGGGCTCATATGCACCCCCATGCCGCCGTCCTGGGTGCAGGCTCCCGTCCTGGGGCAGGGCGCTGCAGGGCTCATATGCACCCCCATGCCGCCGTCCTGGGTGCAGGCTCCCGTCCTGGGGCAGGGCGCTGCAGGGCTCATATGCACCCCCATGCCGCCGTCCTGGGTGCAGGCTCCCGTCCTGGGGCAGGGCGCTGCAGGGCTCATATGCACCCCCATGCCGCCGTCCTGGGTGCAGGCTCCCGTCCTGGGGCAGGGCGCTGCAGGGCTCATATGCACCCCCATGCCGCCGTCCTGGGTGCAGGCTCCCGTCCTGGGGCAGGGCGCTGCAGGGCTCATATGCACCCCCATGCCGCCGTCCTGGGTGCAGGCTCCCGTCCTGGGGCAGGGCGCTGCAGGGCTCATATGCACCCCCATGCCGCCGTCCTGGGTGCAGGCTCCCGTCCTGGGGCAGGGCGCTGCAGGGCTCATATGCACCCCCATGCCGCCGTCCTGGGTGCAGGCTCCCGTCCTGGGGCAGGGCGCTGCAGGGCTCATATGCACCCCCATGCCGCCGTCCTGGGTGCAGGCTCCCGTCCTGGGGCAGGGCGCTGCAGGGCTCATATGCACCCCCATGCCGCCGTCCTGGGTGCAGGCTCCCGTCCTGGGGCAGGGCGCTGCAGGGCTCATATGCACCCCCATGCCGCCGTCCTGGGTGCAGGCTCCCGTCCTGGGGCAGGGCGCTGCAGGGCTCATATGCACCCCCATGCCGCCGTCCTGGGTGCAGGCTCCCGTCCTGGGGCAGGGCGCTGCAGGGCTCATATGCACCCCCATGCCGCCGTCCTGGGTGCAGGCTCCCGTGCCGGGGCAGGGTGCTGCAGGGCTCATATGCACCCCCATGCTGCCATCCCTGGGTGCAGGCTCCTGTCCCGGGGCACGGTGCTGCAGGGCTCATATGCACCCCCATGCTGCCATCCCTGGGTGCAGGCTCCCGTTCCTGGAGCTGCAGGACCCCAGTGGGACAGTGCCCTGCAGCAGGGTGTGTCGTGCTGGTGGCAGTGGCTGCTGGGTGCTGTGCTCTGGTCCCAGTGTGGGGGTGATGGCTTGAGCTGATGCTGTCTGCTCCCCATGTTACAGATTGCCCCGGGCTCAGCATGGCGGCCCTGCGGATGATATGCCGAGCTTCCCGCACAGGTAAGGATAGTGGCTGTAGGGGAGACTCCATGCTGTAGGATTGTGGTCTGAGCCCCCTCCCCCTCTGCTGCCCCATGGTGCTGGGAGCACCGTACAACTCACTAACCTTTCACCTTGATTCCCCAGGGACATCGCCCTGCCTGAGTTTCACCCGGCTGCTCAGTGTTACAGCCCCGAGAGAGTCCTATAGTGAGTACTGGCTCCAGCCCTCCCTCTGGCTCCCCCGGGGCACAGCATCCAGAGCCCATTCTGGAGGGCATGGAGTCTAGCCTGGTTCTTGCATCGCCCAGTGTCTTGTCCCCCAAGGGGCAAGCAATCCAAGTTAGGTCTCTTCCATCCCCCAAGCTGCTACCGAACCCCTTGTGGGTTCTGTCTGGGCACTGTACCCAGCGGATGGATGCCTGTCCCAGCCCCTCCATGTTGCTTTGCTCAGGGGGGTGATGATCTATGTCTCCCTTACAGAGTATGTGAATGTACAGGAAAAGGAAATGGACATGAAATCCATCACTGACCGGGCTGCTCAAACCCTTTTGTGGACAGAGCTCTTACGAGGTGAGCCCCGGGCTCTGTTGGGGTGGGTTGTGATAGCAGGACCTGGGGTGGGAGGGTTGGACAGGACCTGGGATGGGGTCTTGGGATTGAGATTAGAGAGGCTGTGAGGGTCCGACAGGCATCAATGCCAATGGGAAAGCAGTAGGGGGTTCCCGCATGCAGATCGTGTAAGGTCTGGATGATGATTAGTGGGTTCTCACTTCCTTGGGTGGGTTCTAACCTCCCCTGGCTCCTCCTACAGGCCTGGGTATTACCCTGAGTTACCTTTTCCGGGAACCTGCCACCATCAACTACCCCTTTGAGAAGGGCCCCCTGAGCCCGCGTTTTCGGGGCGAGCACGCCCTGCGCCGCTACCCATCTGGAGAGGAGCGGTGCATCGCCTGCAAGCTCTGCGAAGCCGTCTGCCCTGCCCAGGTGAGCCTTCTCCCTCGCTGCGGGGCTTGTCCGTGTGGGGTTGCACCTCACAGCTCCACTTGGATGCTTGTCTCTGGCATGGTGCGTCCTGAGTAAGTGACTCTTGTGCAGGAAGGTCCCTGCTTCCCTTCCCTCCCTAAGATCTCTCCAGGGGACCTTGGTTTGGTCCCTGGTAGGGGCCGGTTGCCCAGCTTGGATGTCTGTACCTCCCTGCAAGAAGCCCTGTGGTGGAGATGGGGGTGTGAGCTGCGTTGGCCCTGGTAGGCTCAGGCACTGACACAGCTGGCTCCTGATGGTCTGGGCAGTGGCTCCAGCCCTTTCTCCAGTCTCGCTGGCAAAAGATCTGTGTGTATCTCCCCCTCCCCTCATAGACTCCTAGGGCTGGAGGAGGCCTCAGGAGTCATTGAGTCCAGCCCCCTGCCCGAATCAGGACCACCCAACTAAATCAACCCAGCCAGGGCTCTGTCAAGTCAGGACTTAAAAACCTCTAGCGAGGGGGATTTCATCACCTCCCTAGGGAACCCCGCCCAGTGCTTCACCACCCTCCTAGTGAAATAGTTTTTCCTAATATCCAACCCAAACCTCCCCCGCTGCAACTTGAGACCATTGCTCCTTGTTCTGCCGTCTGCCACCACTGAGAACAGCCTCTCTCCAGCCTCTTTGGAAACCTCCCTTCAGGAAATCGAAAGCTGTTATCAAATCCCCCCTCGCTCTTCTCTTTTGCAGACTAAATACGCCCAAATCCCTCTGCCTCTTCTTGTAGGTCATATGCTCCAGCCCCCTAATCATTTTGGTTGCCTTCCACTGGACCATCTCCAAGGCATCCACATCCTTTCTGTAATGGGTGTGTGTGTAGAACTGGATGCAATACTCCAGATGTGGCCTCACTAGTGCCGAATAAAGGGGAAGAATCACTTTTAGATCTGCTGGAAATGCTCCTCGTAATGCACCCAATACAGGGCACATTGTTGACTCGTATCCAGCTTCTCATCCAGTGTAATCCCTAGGTCCTTTTCTGCTGAACTACTCTTAGCCAGTCGCTCCATTGCACAGCTGAGACTCTCCAGCCCCCTGTGCGGCCTGGTGTGACCCTCAGTAGGCAGCACCCCTGCTTTTCCCCAGTGTATTGGAGCGGCGGTGCTGGGATGGGGAATGACCGCCCCTTCTTCTCCCCTCCCCCCAGGCGATCACCATCGAGGCTGAGCCCCGAGCCGACGGCAGCCGACGAACCACTCGCTACGATATCGACATGACCAAGTGCATTTACTGCGGGTTCTGCCAGGAGGCCTGCCCTGTAGACGCCATTGTGGAGGTGAATGCAGCCGGCTGCGTGTGGGATGAGGGGCCGGGCGTGTGATCTCTCCACAGACTCACCCCCATGCCTCTTGGCGTCTGTGGGTCTCTGTGTGGTGTGGAGTAGGAATGTAATAGAGTAGTCGATTAACCGGTAAGCAAAAGCTTATAGGAGAATGCTATAGACTACATGCATTTCCCCCCCCCCAACGCCCACCCTTCCCCAGTACATTTTTTTTAGCAGGCTGGCCAGCAACCAGGTTCAGTCCTAGCTTGTGATGGGTCCGGTGTTGTGCTTAAAAGAAGCACCTGGGATCTTTTTCAGGGGGGATAAGGCAACACGCCACTTCTATTGAACATACATAGATCAATCAATACTTATCATCTGCATATGACACTCTCTCTCTCTCCCTCACTCCGTCTTGTTGTTACCAAAAGTTGCTCCCCCTAACTGCACTGGCCAGGTGAGTTAGATGGGGGAGGGGGTGGAGCCGGGCTTCTGCTGATCCGGATCGATGCTCCCATGTTAACAAGACGAAAACCTGGGATCCCTCTGCAAGATGCCTCTTATTTATCCCTCTCATGCAGCCAATTAGTCATCAACTGGCCTTTCTTAGTGTTGCTTCAAAGAGAGTTCTTCCAAGGGCAGGCACTTGCTGCTTGACTCCCTCTGTATGTCCAGTCTTCTTAATGAGCTCACTTTGCAGGTATTGTCTTAGATCTGGCTCCCAGACCTTCTCCACCCTTGCAACTGCTGCTGGAGGTGCTCACCTTTCATTCTCCATTCACACCTCATTCATTTCAACAGGGCAATCAAGGAAAGGGGAGAGCTCAAAAGACATTTTTTCTTACAAGATCTATATATCTTAATACGAAGTTATAGGAGAAATGTTAGAGATTCTATAAGAACACTTAACAAAGATGTATCTAAAAGGACAAGATCTTAATACAAAATATGTTAGAGATTTATCCACACCGGGACCTACCTCTGTGGAGAGTCTGCACTTAAAATGTATTCGGAGCTAGGCTGGCAGGCAGCCCGGCTCAGTTCTGGCTCTTGCTGGGTCCAGGAGGACAGCCGCCCTCCCCCCCCCTCCTCTCTCCCCCCAGCCCTGGATAGAGACTGCTGCCACCCTGCATTACTGCCTCTGTATCAGAGGCAGCAGCGACAGGTAGCCAGTCCATGAGAGCTGGTTTTTAAACTGACTCCACTCACAAACCAGCTCCCGCCTGGCACCTCACACTGCTGCCTCCAATGCTGCTGGCCCTGGCCCCGGCCCCGGGGACTATAGAGTAGTCGAGTAACTGATAAGAATTCACGAGGTTACTCGACTATTCAGCTAACCGATATTTAACATCCCTAGTGGGGAGGGAGGTCCTGGCAGGTCCCTGCGCTGGGCGAGGGAGGAGCGGAGTCTGGCCATGAGGGGGTGAGGTCTTGGGGGAAACGCTCTGCTCTCCTGACTTCTGCAGGGCCCCAACTTTGAGTTCTCCACGGAGACGCACGAGGAGCTGCTGTACAACAAGGAGAAACTGCTCAACAACGGGGACAAGTGGGAGGCCGAGATCGCGGCCAACATCGAGGCCGACTACCTGTACCGGTGACAGCGCCGCCCAGCCTGCTTTCTGAACCCACCCCTGCAATAAAGGGCCTACACCCGGTTGTCAGGGCTCTCGTGCGCCTGTCTTGGGGGAGAAAAGGGCTTGAGGGCAGGGAGGGCAGGGAGTGAGCAGCTGGGCCAAGTACCCCTTGTTCAGGACTGACAGCACTCAGCAGGTGTGGGGGCTAGGACTCTGCTTTGGAATTGTGCCCCCTCCCCTTTCATGACCCCTCCATGTATCAGTGGGGCTGTGAATTCCCAGTGCCCTTGCCCCGTGTTCACAGGGGGAAAGCAGTTCAAGGGAGCAATGGGCCAGTCCCTCCAGTTAGCTCTGTGGCCCATGGGGGGGGGGAGCCTCCCTTCCCAGCTCCTTGGAGAGGAGCCCGTGATGAGGTCAGGGTTGGCAACAGTGGGCTAGGGAGAGGGGGGGCCAGGTGCGTGGGTTGGGGGAGCTCTGTTGGATGCCAAGCCAGGCTGTGTGATGTCCTGGCTCTGCCTTGTGCTGCTGCCACCAGGCCCTGAGCACTATGGAAATAGAGCAGGGCCCTGGCTCAGCTGGGCCCTTTCTCCCTGAGACGGGGTGGGGCAGGCAGCTTCTCTCAGCCCCTGCTGGCTTCTGCACATGGGTGAGTGGTGACCAGCAAAACACTCCTGCTGCATGGCTAATGCCACCAGGGCACATGAGTGACCATTGCTGCCAAACGGAGATGAGGTCCAGTCCCCTTTCGCAGCGCCCGGCGTGGCTTACGACTAGCCCCCAGGATGTCAAGGTGTCCTGAGGGGAGCGTGAGTACTGACCTGTGGGCAGATGGGTACGAGGCAGGGCGCATACACCCACACTGGCTGAGGCCTGGCCTCAGATTTCACCGACCAACATGAGTGTAAACACAGACACTAAGAGCCGAACTGTGGAGTCCCAGACAGTCCTCGTGTCCTCCGCTGTGCCGTGGCCCCGAGGTATGCTGGCCTTTGTGAGAGCGGCTCCCAACCCGGAAAGAGCACAACAATATGCTGGTTTCTCCCAGTTCCAAAGGACAAGTTACTTAGCAGAGGTCACCAGCACTTTGTCTGTCACACCACACACAACACTTGCAGCTAATCCTTTTGGGGGAAATGTCTAAAGATTTACTAACTAGGAAAAGGAAACCGTTATTTACGAAGTTAAAGCAGGGCCTTACACACAAGTGACAGCCTCAAGTTTCAAAAGGTAATAGAAGCTTCTCGTATACAAACGCTACATGTCCTTTAGGCCTTACTTAGGACAACCAGTGGGGATCTTTTGCTTATGCTTGGTAATCTTTGCTCTTCTAAATCCAATATTCCTTCTCCCGCTGCAAGTTCAGCAGCTGAGAGGAATTCAGTTGCAGTCACTTTCTCATGGGGAGAAGACAAAGCATTTTGTCTTCTGTTCCACAGTGGGGCCTTCTTTTGTTAGGCTGGAGACATGCCCTCCTGTGGCAGACCAGTGCCTCACACTGGGAGTACAGTTTCCATTTACAGAGCCAGCAGTTCAGTGTTACCCCATGGCGTGCAGGGGAGAGACCTTGTGTGAGATTACAGGGTGTAGCAATCCACAAGTGTTCTACAATGTCTAAGTAAACCCTTTTGTAACCCCACTTACTACAAGTTGAACCTCTCTGGCCCAGCAACAGCTGTGGTCTGGCAGGATTTTAGTTAGCCCATGTCCACTTAGCATAGGTGTGGCCAAGTTTCCTGTGGTCCCATATACAGGCACCAGCCCTGGCTATGCGTTCTGTGCTGTTATTTAGCTCTGATTTACCCCTCACTGTCTTCAAAGACAGCAGTGGAGGTGTTGGTGATGCTGCTAGATAATACTGACTTCCTGTGGTCTGGCAAATTCTCTGGTTCAGCACCAGTCAGGTCTCAAGGGTGCTGGCTTAGAGAGGTTCAATTTAGGAATGTAAGTGACTAGTCGACTATCTGATAAGCAGAAGTATTGAATTAGTTAAATATTACATTTAACTGGTTAGCCACTTAAAAGTGGGGAGGGAGGGAGGGACTCTAGCCCAGCCAGGCTGCCATTAACTTGTCACCTCATAAGGGTGATGCTTACTGGTTAACCACTGACATCCCTTGATTCTAGAGTCCCAGGTTCAATTCCTGCCCAGGTTCAGCAGCTGTGATTGTGCTGTGGAAAGGGGGAGGTGCCATGTGAGGCTTCAGCTGCCCTTGAGAACAGTCGGAAAAGCCACCTCCACCCCCCCACACACTTCCCCAGCAGGGCTCATGTCCCATAAGCCCAACTTCCTCTGAGCTCCTCTCCCTGAAGGCCCCTCCAGGCTCTCACAACCCTGGGGCGTGAGCCCAGATCCGGCTTGTTTTCAGAGACAAGGCTGTGACGCCCAGCGTCTCCCCTCTCTGGGTGCCAATCGCCAGGCCTGCCCAAGGCCCTCTCCCACCAGGGCATCCCACCTCCCTTCTTCTCGGGCCCCCGGCGTGGAATGGGGGCTGCAGCGGCGGCAGGGCATGATGCTTACCACGCAGGATGGGGCCTAGACTGCGGTGCTAGTGGCACTGAGAGAAGGGGCTGCTGCCCTGCTATTGCTCCTGGGATCCCAGTCGACATGGGCACTGCCCTGCAGAAGCCCGGTGCCCGAGCTCGGGAGGGCACAGAGCAGGCTGTTTGCTCTGGCCTGCCAGGAGCAATGGGCCGGGGGTGGATACCAGGGACTCAGGAGGGCGGAGTGGCGCATTTCTGGAGAGGAAGGCCAGACAGGGCCGCCCTGCAGAGAGAAAGACCCACTGGAGCAAGCAGATGAACCAGGAAGAGGGGGCCGGAGCCAGAGCAAGGCAGGGCATGGAAGCTGCCATGCAGGCCCGTTGGCCGGGATCATGGGATCTGGTGTCTGCTGCTGGGGGTGGTGACTCAGGGCCCTGGGGAAATGGGCCTGGGGGGGGGGGGGCATGTTTAAGCAGGCAGGGCATGGAAGCTGCCATGCAGGCCCGTTGGCCGGGATCATGGGATCTGGTGTCTGCTGCTGGGGGTGGTGACTCAGGGCCCTGGGGAAATGGGCCTGGGGGGGGG